TTAAATTGTATTCATACGTAGTAGCTGGGGGTAGGAGATTCTCCGAAGACAGATGAGCAGAAGAAGAATCACCAGTTTGTGGCCGTAGTTTTGGGGTGAGATTTAATTTCATTGCCATTCCATTTCTTAGTTGTAACTGAAAATTGTGAAATTGCACTTTTTGTGGCCACAGTTTTTGCCTGAAATTTCATGGCCCTTAGGAGGTGAAGCCCTTCTTTTCTCTGTTGTCAAGTTCCTCTGCTCATGCTACTACCACTCCCGCTCCTTCTCGTCCTTCTGCACCTCCTTTCTCTCCCTCCTCCCACCTGTGATGTTGAACCAAAAGATGACATAATTGGGAAGTTCATGTGCCTGTCAAAAATAACGACATTCGGAAGTTTCACGGGAGAACAATCATGATTCCTCTCATTCTGCATCATCAAGGTTCAGCGAACCCTTTTCAAAATCTGTGATTTCATTTGCTTTCAGCGATTCGGACGCTGGCAGCCTGGCGCTTGGAGAGTTTGAAAAACCAACTTCCACACAGCTTGCCTTGAGCTGCTGGGGCGATTATGCCCGGCTTGCTCGGTTTGCAGAACCCACGAGCGAAGCTCAGGGGCCATTTGGCTGATATAGAGTCTTAGTACACCGGGTTCATGATACTAATCTCCTTTTTCGGACTCATGTTTTGTACATGCAGTGTGATTAGACCTCGGAGAGCTTGGAAAAACAACCTTCTGTTTCAATTTTTTCTTGTTTTCTATACAAAAACTTGAAAAGAGAGGAGAAGTACTCCAGCCCATTGGTGACAAGTAGCACCTACAGTAATGGCCTGGTTCCACAAGTTACCTTGTTTTTTTTTTTGTTTTTGTTTTTTTTTAACTGGGGTCGAGACTACGATGGGATGTGATACAAGCATCTTCTCCTAGTACTCCGTCCCCGGTGCTCCAGTCTATTGGTGGGGAGCGCCACCTGGTGGAAACCAGGTCCAGCGTCCCAGATACAGTATTTCCGACTTGGCTGTACAGGGGGATTACCCGGCTTCGGGTTATGAGTAACGGAGAAATGAGAAGAGGGGAGAGAGGGGGGGGGGCGAGAGAAGAGGTAGAGGGGGGATTAAGTCGAATACGGCTGCTCCTCACGAAGACCTCCCTCCCTCAGTCCCTAATTAGTCTAACAGACAAGGTATCGGGTGGGAACAAGTCTAGCAAATCTGACACCGGTCTCAGCGGCTCATTTGGGTCGATCGCTGTCCAGTCATGAAAATGCAGCTGATAATCCCTGACGATGTCGAGCCCCGGCTGCTTGTCCTGCTCGTCCCACTGTTGTCCCTTCTGTGGTGCGTCTCCTGACCTGGTCACCTCTGCCATCCGGCTGCCTCCCTGTCCCCCCTAACCAGTTTTTGCGGAACTGGGAGATGATTTGGTTATGTCTTTTGTTTTTGTGTTCCGTCACCTCCTCCCCTCCACCCTCTCTCCCTCCATGACAAAGATGAACCTGTGCCACCAAAGTGCCTAGCGAATGGTTTGCCTGCTCAGGCAGAACATGTTTTCCCTGAAGCAGTCCCCTGGTAAGTGGGGGCAGTGGCCTGCCAACAGTGCCCTCCAATCCCACGGCCAGAGAGATCCGGGGACTGTTTTCTGCCAGATCCTGCCCCACCAGCGGCACGTCACCACGGAGGAGGGGCGTTGCAGGAAAATGTGTTCTATGGTTTCCATTCTTTCTGTGATGGATAGCACTGCGTGCACCTTTTACACCATGGCAGGCCTGTCCCTCCTGTTCCAGCCTTCCAGGTTTGTCTGATCTATCAGCCAGTTGTTCGTCGGCGGACATGGGTGAGCTCTCTGCCACTGGAGCGAGGGAATTTTAGCTGGCCTAAATTTGCCTTGCTGGAGCCACTGAATGGGCATCCGTAGGTGGTTGCTAATGTTGAGGTGTCGTTGCCATCTTTCCTTCATTATGTCATGGAGCACTCCTTTGATTCTGAGCATTCTATACGCCGTCTTAACCTTCAGGTTAGCTAGCTGCATGCATTTCCTGAGGATGTGGTTAGAGCACCGGTTGGAGATGCGCATTGTGGTATGAGGTTGCGGGTTCAAAACTCCACAGCCTTGCGCATGGACACCGGCAGGGCGTTAGAATGATGCACGGTTGGACACACACTCCCCTGGGCTGATGCATGGTACTATTACAGACTGCCTGTGCACCACCCGGGGGTCAGTCCACGGGTGTTGTATGCTGGCCTAGACTTCACGTTGGTTGCTGATTGTTGTTGGCTTTGGTCGCTCTGATGATCTACCCCAGCCCAGACATTACACACATTGTATCCACTTCCCATGGAAGTACATGTGGTAGAACCCTCCAGTTTGATAGTGTATGTCACAGGTTCGAGTCCGGTCCCGGACTTTGGGGGGAGTCCTGTACAGATAGGGCTGTCTCTACCATATACACTCACACACAGAGATACCAACCCAGATAGCACAACCACGATACATAGTCTATCACATACCATACACACATACTATACACACACAGTCCCGGACTCTGGGGGGAGTCCTGTCCAGATAGGGCTGTCTCTACCACA